ACGTGACAAACATGTGTAATTTCAAGTTATATCTTTTCACGGCTTTTTTTGCCTCTGTGATGCAGATTGGTCTCCGCAAAGGATCTAGCTCTTTTGCTGAGGCACGTGCTGCTGGGTTCAGTGAAGAGAATGACACTTTAGGTGAGATGTGGGAGACCATTTCCGAAAGTGATCTTGTGATGCTGCTGATTTCTGACTCTGCTCAGGTTTATATCACTCTGCAATCTTGCTCCTCTAGCGTGGAAGCTTTATTTTTCACATTTCTCAATTGCATATTTAAATTAGTTCTGTTAGTTATGAACTTGTAGTGAAATCGTATCCCTGGTTTCAGCTGAATGTTTTATGATGGTTAAATTAACTTCACCCTTTCCTGTGTCTACATTTCAGGCTGACAATTACGAAAAGATTTTCTCCCACATGAAACCAAACAGCATTCTTGGGTTGTCTCATGGATTTCTTTTGGGGCATCTGCAGTCTTTGGGAAAGGACTTTCCCAAGAATTTCAGTGTGATTGCTGTATGCCCAAAGGGAATGGGGCCTTCTGTAAGGAGGTTGTATGTCCAGGGTAAAGAGGTCAATGGTGCTGGAATCAACTCTAGCTTTGCCGTTCACCAGGTTTGGCTCTTTTCATTGATTCTTGCTAATGCATTGCTGGCGGTGTGCCTTTTCTTACGCTTGAATCTGCACTCGATATAATTAGACTTTACCATTTTTTTGCTTGTAGGATGTAGATGGTAGGGCTACAGATGTAGCACTTGGCTGGTCAGTTGCTCTTGGATCCCCTTTCACATTTGCCACTACTCTTGAGCAGGAGTACAAGAGTGACATCTTTGGGGAGCGAGGTAGATATAACCTTCTTTATCTCTTGTGTTACTTCCTTATGGATTTTTGAGGCAATGAATCACTTTGTTTCTTTCCTTTGTAGGTATCTTGCTTGGTGCTGTTCATGGAATTGTTGAGTGCTTGTTCAGAAGGTACACAGAAAATGGAATGAGTGAAGATCTAGCATACAAGAACACTGTTGAGTGCATTACCGGGGTCATATCAAAGACCATCTCAACTAAGGTTGGATTTTTTAGCAATTAATTTTTAATTTTGCTAGAAGTTGTTTGTGGATGGCTGCTGATATGAATTGATTCTGTCAGGGAATGCTGGCCTTGTACAATTCTTTGTCAGAAGAAGGCAAAAAGGATTTCCAAACAGCTTACAGCACCTCGTACTACCCGTCCATGGACATTTTGTATGAGTGCTATGAAGATGTTGCTAGTGGTAGTGAGATCCGAAGTGTTGTTTTGGCTGGACGACGATTCTATGTATGTCATTCTTATCATTAAAAAAAAAAATTGTCATCACCTCTGTTTGGAGTGTCCCTTAAGATTGAGATATTTTACTTTAAAATTCAAACGAAACCAATCCATGTTTGGTATAAGGAATCAGTGTTGAATCATGTATTCATGTTATAGTAAAAGTGTTTTTTTTCAAGGTGTCAAGGTTTTGCTGGAGCTGTTATATTTTAGTCCATTTGAAGTTTATCTTAACCCTCTGTATTTTTCATTCCAGGAAAAGGAAGGCCTCCCAGCTTTTCCCATGGGTAATATTGATCAAACCAGAATGTGGAAGGTTGGTCAGAAGGTCAGAGAAACCAGACCTGCAGGTGACTTGGGCCCATTATATCCTTTTACTGCCGGTGTCTATGTTGCTCTTATGATGGCCCAGGTAAGACTATTTGCTACTTTGCTCATGGTTCATAAGTTTATATGACTGCTTCCAAAGTCTAAAAAGAGCTCAAGATAATGAGATACTACTAACTATAATTTCTGCTTACTAAAATCACATGATGTTCTTTGTAATCCCCTAAACATGCATGAGAAGAGACACTTTGGGTTGTAAGCCTGCCTTGCCTCCTCAAGGGTGGATGTTTTTCTACCTATGCAACCTGTCTTGTTACCCTTGTTTAATTGTAGCTTTTGCTTCTCTTTTATGTAGATCTTGTATCATTTGATGGTTTAAATTAATTAAATATCACTTCTTGCATGCAACAGTTAAGTTTTCTTCATTTGGATGTCCTAAATTATAAATTTGTGATAGATTTAATTCCCTAGCTGTTGTTGATGCCTTGCTAATTTCCTTAGATGGCAATCATGGCATATGTGCGTGTGATTTTTAAGATTTGCTTTCATATTACTGGGAAAAATTAAATGATGTTGTTTCTTGTGCAATTAAATGAATGTCTAGTTAGTTATGGGCTTTTGTTTTTGGGTTTTGGGGGGGGGTGTGGGTGGTGAAGAGCTAACGTTACTTTTCGGGTTCAATTGAACTTACTTGGGTAGCAGCAAAGTGTTTTTTATGTACTAATATGTGAAGTAAAGTGATATGAACTGATTGAACCTACTTATATAAATAGCTTAGTGAGGGTTTGTGTATGAAATCAGTCATCAGCTGACCTAGTATAGGCATACTCTTCACACCTTTGTCCTAGATATATTATTTCAATTGCGTGCAATAAGTTTAATCTCATATGGAGTGTTTTATAATACTTTGTGCTGTTTTTTTAGTATATATGTTGGAGACTGCATTCTCTAACACCTTGATATAATGTTACCAGATTGAGATCTTGAGGAAGAAGGGTCACTCTTACTCTGAGATCATCAATGAGAGTGTGATTGAAGCAGTAGATTCCTTGAACCCCTTCATGCATGCCCGGGGTGTCTCATTCATGGTTGACAACTGCTCAACCACAGCAAGACTTGGATCAAGAAAATGGGCCCCTCGTTTTGATTACATTTTAAACCAACAAGCCTTTGTAGCTGTTGACAAAGGTGCTCCAATCAACCAAGATTTGATCAGCAACTTCTTGTCGGATCCTGTTCATGAAGCTATTGGAGTTTGCGCAGAGCTCAGACCATCTGTTGATATCTCTGTGACTGCTGATGCTGATTTTGTGCGCCCTGAGTTGCGCCAGGCATAAGTATTATTAGGTATTGAGTTGTAATGTCCGAGCTTATTGTACTTTAATCTTTTCTGTCCCGTGAAACAAGACCCTCTATATTCTCCAAGTTTTGGCTAGAGTTTTATGTTTAATTTGGGACTTTAGGGAGTGCCTGTCTAACTTGTGTTGTAACGTTGTAGTATGTTGCTGCAATAATGTTGTAGTATGTGGCTGCAATGCTCCCGGGGCTATCTTATCATTTATGCTTGGTTCGTGTGATACTGTTGGAAATAAAGATCTTTCCGTACATCGTTCTACAATTGCATGCTGGTCATAAACTTCATTGTCTTGGTCCTAGAAGATAAATGCTTGCTTTATTAAAGCAAAAAGTTACCTGTTGAGAGTATTATTGTTTCTACATGCCTTCCTGCCCCTACTTTTAATCATAGTCACAACCTATGTAAGCTTGCCAGTCACTCGCATGGCTACACCGGTCTCTGCCTGTTCCTCGAACTCAACTCAACAGACCATCGAACCCCCTCCCCCAGTCCCCAGTCGACGTCATCTTTGTTGCTGGTATACTGTACAAAATTCTTCTTGTGATGGTTCTCTTTTCCACCAATATTGTTAATAAATGCTAACAAAAACTTAATCTGTAAACTCGAAAAAAGGAGTGCTTAGCAATTAGCACTAAAGATACTACGAACTAAATCTTGATATTCAGTAATGGTTTCAGGAGTAGAATTTTCTCGTTCAGCAATGACATGGAGCAACCCTCTCAACAATCTTAGAATAAGCTTTTTGTTACTTGTGCAGTTGTGCTAATAAGAATTTATTTCATTACTAATCTAATCTTGCCCTGGGCATCTACAATAGAACAAACCTCTTAAAGGTTTATGTAGGGGACCCACTATCAATACAACTTATTAAATTCATCAAAATCAAAAGTAAAGAAAAATAATATTTAAAAAAAATAATAATAATTTTAATAAAAAAAAAAAAAGAGAAAAGGTTAAAATTTTTGTTAACTTAGCAAGTTCAAACCGGTTTGTTTAGAAAACAAACTTCAACCCACAACAAACCTCTAAATTATTCCCACAAACCTCTTATTGCTATTGCCCTAAGGAATCAAGAAGACAATTTTTTTTTTGATGAGAGGGTGAAACTTCTTAAATAGACATGGTTACACTAATTTATTATGGACCACTAATATTAGATCACTATTTTTAAATGTTGTTATTTAAACTTAAAGGTTTTTATAGTGCGCACCAAAAAAAAAAAAAAAAAAAAAAAAAAAAAAAAAACTATAGGCATTAATAAAAAAAAAAACACTATGTTAAAACAAAGGTTGTTATGTTAAACGAAAGTTATTGTGTGATAATAAAAGTCATAAGAGATTAATGTATATTATAATGAAAATTTTAATATACCGGTTAATATGAAAATTAAAGGTCATTATTTTAGAATTAAAGTTATTATGCTCAAATTAACATCAAGTGTACATGTGAACCTCAAATCCGGCTCGCAAAGTTTTAAATAAGGTACGGTTAAATTTAGGGTCATTATATTCAACATAATGTCAGTTGTCGTGTATAGATTTCAGGTCCAGACAAGTTTTCCCATGGTTAATAAAAAAGACTTACCTTAATTCTATGTTCAATCCGAAATACTTGTAATAAAGTACTAATATAAATTTAAAATGGAAGAAAACGTTAACTATTTAATATTGTCCTATTACATTTTTTTTAATATCAATTTATTAGATATTACAGAGTACTCTTTGATCTTTAATATGTTAGACCATACTCCGTATTATTTTCACATGAGGTTTATTAAGCTTCTTAAAACTTACTTTTGTTGATTCAATATCATACTTCTTCGATCTTTTTTTTGTTTGCACCAATTTTCAAAGTCGTCCCTTAGAAATTGTTCCATATTACAATATTAATTTATATGGGGATAACTATTTTGCTATCACAAAAGCACTTTAGGTCCCACCACTTTCTTTCTCGTCAATTTCGTACTCTTAAAATTAATAAATTGAATTATTTCTACGGGGCAAACAATTAGGGATAAAGGGTATACTTATTACAGTATTTAACTTAGTCATTTTCACAATATACTCTATTATTTTTGTTTTCTAGTGAAGAGAGTACAACCTTAATTTTTTTTTTTGAGGAAAGAGAGTACAACCTTAATTATCTTGACATTATTAATAAAAATAAATAGTTAATAAAGTGGTTAATAATTATTCAAGTATCGTCTAAATTCTTTTCATTTTCCACCTCTCAAAAAATAGCACAAAAATTAACCATTTTCAAAAATTTTAAGAGTAAGAATACCCCGCTAAAATGTGATCTTTACTAAATTCAAATCAACTCTTTTTATAAATACCCAACTTAAAATGCTTTCATCTCAAAACTCATAACCAACTCACAGCAGCAGTTAGAGAGAGAAAGAATGGCGATGGTGAGTCCAGTTGCAGAGCAGCTCCATAACCACAATCATCATACGCACATGACAGAGCAAATGATCAATTTCAAGCTCAAGGAAAGGAAGCAGCTCTCTCTCGAAAACTACCTTTCCTTCCTCCAATCTGCCGATTCTGCCAACTTCACCGCCAATCAACTCAATATGGTAATTTCTATAACTTTTTCTTCAAATTTCGTTTGATTTCTAGGTTTTCATGTTGAATTTTTGCTAATTTGTTTGAATTCTTAATTAAAACATATTTTCTCTCTGTTTGTAAGTGTTTTTTGAGGTTTACAACAATTTGAATCGAATGTGTTTGGTTTTATTGCTAGTTAACCTGGAAATATGTGTGAGTTAAACCTAATTTACAAAGGAATTTCTCAGAAATTTCTTTTAAGTTGAAAGTTCCGATGAGAATTTCGATTTTATTTATTTTTTGTGAATGAATTCGCTCTGTTAATTAGTGGTTGAACTATAATTTCTCTCAATTTTTCATGTCAGTTGTAAATTTGATTTTAGTTTGTGTATCTAAATGAATTTTTTCCTCTAATTACTAGTTGAACTGAATGTCACTGTGAATTTTGATTTCAAATTTGTTTTCGTTAAATTTCGACGAGAAATTTCAATGTTATCTCATATTTTTGTGAAATCATCTCTCCATTGATTTACTGGTTCATATGAGAGGATGAAATTTTCAAATAAAATTCATGTGAAATAGTTGAGACTTTGATTGTTTTTCTCCTCAATTTGCAGATAATTTCAATCCATGGATTCAAGAAGGTCAGTCAACGGAAGGTTCTGGACTCTTCATCTTCATCTTCTCTCTTTCGATTTTCTCTTCATCTCTTACACTCTCATTTGACTGACAAAATGATTGCAGAAAGCTGAAGAAGCACTGAAGCAACTCGAGCCAATCGATGCAGCACGATCAACTCTGACTGAAGACATTTCATCATCAATCAAAGCAAACATGGACTTCAACGAAGCAATCAAGGATCTCAAAGCTCTCAATTGGCAAGAGTGCTCAATCACTTCCTTCAAATCAATCAAACCAGAAAATGACAAACTTGTCCTCGTCTCTCCTTCAACTGCAACAACCACCAAATCAGGATCTCTGAAGGCGAAAAAGAAGCCTAAGTTAGCATCGTCGATGATTAGCTCAGGCAGTGTTCCGAATGACAGTGGTGGTTCTGGTACTAGTCAAAGTTTGGTTCCTGTATTTCCTTCTGCAACAGCTACCAAAATGCGGAAAACTGTAAAGAGGCAGAAGTTAGCATCATTGACAGAGAGCTCCTGCAGTGGTCCTAGCATTGACAGTGGCAGTGCTTCTGGTGGTTGTTCGTCGTCTTCACTTTCAGCAGGAGGAGGGAAGAGAGGTGGTGGGAAGAAAATGCTCCATGCAATAGTCTGCCTAGGGGCTAATTAGCAGTACTGAAAGATAGTTCATACTGAGCCTCACCAGGATTAATTTGGCTGTTTTAAATTTTTAATACTCCTAATCACGTTTTCGTGAAGTTTTTAGTGCTGTTAACTACAATTTGTTTCTCAGTGGTGGAGTATGTGCATTTGATTTTGTTTAGTTCCACTGGAAATACTTTATCAGATACTGTAATTTTTGGATTTGTCTATGCTACTTGAAGAGATTTTTCTATTCCTAATTTTGTCAATTAAATTCATATGAAACATTGAAACACGAAACTTGTATTTAATGCAATATGTATGATTGATACGATCATGCATATAGATTAGTACTTATTTGTAAGCTAAATTGCCCCATAGGAGGATTGTTAAGTATCCCAGCCATTATACGATCTTACATTAGCAATTTAGCATATAGATTAAAAACAGAACGGCGAAGCACATGATAGCAAAGTAGTAGTCTCTTGTAACATTTATGGTGTGGAGCAAATTCAATGAGACGTCACGTCAAACAATGAAATATGAACTAGTTAAAATAGGATGGAATGGATACCTAATATGGAGTACTTGAGTACAATAGTTAATCACGGATTCTAAGCAAGAGAGACAAATTTTCTCAAAATCAAACTTCTAATTTTGCTAAGATATAAAATAAAAGAAAATTAACTAATTCTCATCCATAAGATTAATAGGGATCTTGCTGTCTAATCTCAAAAAATTGGTCACACACTACACACTTTTTTAAGAGGTAAAGGAGAAAGTTCTTATAAAAATTGGCCTCTCACAGTAACATTAATTACCATTTTGCATCAATAATGACACTACATGTTGTCAAAAAAAAATAAATAAATAAATATTGAACCTCTAGATAAAATGTTACAGTATCCCTCAACCATAGCAAATTTTCAAAGAAAATGTTAATTCATCCCAAATACATTTAAGTTGCGATGCAAAATCATTTTTACACAATTAGCCTTAATATCATTGCAAATTGTCAATCCTAGATTAACTTCTTGGTTAAGGAAAATGATTGACAAAACTACACCTTACTGAAACTACTAGCAAGCTTTTGCATGGGTAAAAATACAAATTTAACATACGAGCTCACACTAAGGGGCTGTTTGGTATGAGTTTTTAATATGGGTGGAAACGGAATCAACTTACCGTTTCCCTTACCATGTGTTTGGTTGACAAGTAAAGAAACAAAATCCATTACCTTGTGGTAACCGTTTCCACCCTTTTGTTTCCAGGGTAAATCTTGGGGAAACGATTAACGTTACTTGCCTCTATCACAAAAGACAAATTATTTTCTTTTCTCTCTCCTCTCGATCTTCATTTTTCATGAGAATTTCCAAATTTTTTTGACAATTCAGTTGAGAATTCTCCTAAGAAAACTGCTATTCTTCATATTTTGCTCCATTTTTTTACAATCTTCTACCTCAAATTTGTAAGTATTTTTGAATTTGTAAGTTTATTAGTATGATTGTTTGTTGACATTTATTCGCCACTAACAATTTAATTATACATTAATCTAAGATTGATGATGTTAAAGGAGTGTAAGTTATCTTGTCAATCTATATTGTGTTGCACACAAAGTGTTGGATGAATTGTTTAGCTCAGAAAACTATGTGTCATAATTGCTGCGATTATGATGAGTACTTTATCTAGTGATACTTTTAATTATGCACACAAGCTGTTTGATGAAATGTTTAGCTAAGTTGAGTTTATCATCTTCTTGTTTTATTGCCCTTATTTGATTACTTGTATATTCCCAGATGTTGCAACCATCAAGTTTTCCAAATTCACTATATTTTTATAGCAACATTATTCTCATCTTCCCATTTCAATAATTACACGACACTACTTTTATAATCTCGGGACTGGCTAGTGCATGGTCTAAAACGGAAGAAAGGGAGCAAAGAATGGATGAAAAAGTGAATAAGGTTTTGGATGAGGTGATGACATTAGATGAAATTTCTCCATCCAAAACTTTAGAGGTTGCTAGAATTCTTATGGCGAAAGAACATAACCTCCGCATCTTCTATCAAGCGCCAACTAATATAAAGAAACAATATGCAATTGATCTCTTTAAAAAGAAGTAGAAAGTTTTGTCAAAAGTTGTTATTAGAGTCAATGTTTCAATGGTTTTTAAATGCTTTTTTTTTTTTTTTAGAATACTATAATTTCAATGCAATTGTGATCAATAATTTATATGACTTTGCCTATATCTAGCATTTTTTTTTTAATAGATCTAGCATATGATATATTATGGTAATTGGTTTTTTTAAATATATATATATATATATATATATATATATATATATTTGGTAATTAGTGTTGCTCTACATTGCATAATGTGTAGTAAAAATTAGCCAAGACAACAAAAAATAAAAGGATAACTATTTGTTTCCAAGTTATCTATGCCAAACAAAAGGAAACGGATTGGTTATAATTGTTTACGTTTCCTTAGTAATACCAAACAACTAGTAAGGGTAACACTATACATTACCCTTTCCCCTCCTAATTTGTTTCCATTCCCTTACATTTATTAATTTGCTACCAAACACCTCCTACAAACTGGAACGAGAATGTAAAACAAGAATTAGAAATCGAGCAGATAGGTTCACGAAGTCTTAGCAATACGAAAATTTGATAAATGACTCTTGGAGCAATATCTAACCTAGATATTTTTTCTAGACCAGATTAATTCCACGAAATGCGCCAATATAGACATAATCATGGCCATGGTGAGTAACCGAGTATGGCCCCATGGGATTTTTTGCAGCCATAAAAACCCTCCACCCCCTCTCAAATACCACATCAAAACATGCCCAAGTATGTAAATAAAAGGAAAAAAGCATTACAGGTTTCGACAACAACTCAAGACTAAATTAGTTTCATGATGAGATTCATCTACAACCAGCAATTGGAGGCCTTCAGATTTTCACACTAATCATCAAAACATGTTTCAATTTCCATTTCCATGAAATAACCAGTAGTAATTGTAATTTGGTTTTAAGTTACAATGGGGAAATGCATTTGTGTGATAAGCGCCTGCTGTCAAGCTCCTGTTGCATATAAACGCGTCCATTCCTTTGCTGCAACATGATAGTGCGCAGCACAAGTATTAGACAACCAGTGAATCTTGCACAGCTATATTATTATCAATAAGTTTGCTGCAATACCAGTGTATATATTAAAGTACTACTCAAAAGTATCAGTACAGTTATAGTACTCCCACTATCTCAATTAATTGTCACATAGGTACAAATTACGGATTACTCCCACAACCCCACTATCTCAATTAATTGTCACCAGTGTATATGACATGATTTTTAGAAATATAATCAGCTATCATCATTTTTTATTCACTGTCATTTCTCATTTCTATACCCTTTACATCACTTAAAGAGATTCAATTATAACTCATTACTTGATAGGAAATGTGGTAGCTTTTACAAAGGTACTAAGAAATTTGTATATTGATTCCGGATGGAGAAAGTACGTTGTATTTTGCTAATCGGTGTTCATGATTAATCCTTTACCAGTACTAATATCACATTTCAATTACAAATTGAAAAAAATAAAATAAAAATGCAAGGGCGAAAATACTTGCTTGGGATATCTACAGTCTTAGTAGTATTTAGAGGGGCAGTAGTTGCAAACCTGTTTCCACAGCTTCAACTTCATTACTTTTCCAGTGCTTTGCAACATTCTCTGAAAGGGGATCATCTGGGTTGGGAGCACTCAAAAGAGCCTGGATACTGATTAGAGAGAAATATAGCCGTCATTGATCCCGAAACTTTTTCAGATAGTTAACTGATATTATAAGAGTAACAGGCAACCTTTTGCAAGTGATAACTAAATCAAGCACACTACAATCCAATAATGTATCTAGAGGAATTTCAAAGACAATCACCAACGATTAAAGACCAGTATATCTTTTCTTGTTAGAATATAATAAGGAAACCTGATTGAAAAGCACAAGGTAGAACTTCAGGAATGCTATCAGTGTTTTAGAACACAAGTCCAAGATAGTTCCAATTACATTTTAATAAATTTATTAAAATCACCCCCCCCCCCAAAGTCTACTCCAAATAAACTAAAAGCCCCAAACAAAACATTTCAAAAAAGGAAAGCGGATAGTTGCTAACAGTCTAACACACTATACTAGACAGACATTCTTACATGTTCATTTCTTCTCTCAAGCTAAACCTCTTCTCTCATTCTACAAACTGTTTAAGTAACTAAAACTAGTATAAGCAGAATACACTTTTTTCATACTGAATACATAAATTTTCATGAATCGAAGGATCAACAATTTACCTTAATAATACTGTTCGGATCTGCAGGGCTGGGCTCCATTTATCTTTCAGGATGTCTAAGCATATCCTTCCAAGCTGCACAAAGAAAATTTCATATTAGCTTGCAAGAAATCAAATTGTAGCATATCCTGGGTCAAGAGTAGGTTCACACCTTATCAATGTTTGGATGATAAATCTTAGTCAAGAAGCGGACCTGTTCCAAAAACAAAAAGATAAGTATAAAAATGAACAAAAACTCGATTTGTAGAGCAGTAAACTTCATTTCTCAAACTGCAATATTTGCCGGAGAAAATTAGCCAACAGAAATGTCAATTTGTTAAAGCTTATACCACATTCAAGCCAACAGTCATTAGACAAAACAAGAAACACAAAAGTTAAAATAAATTAAACACAAGCTTGTTGTCTTTATTAATCCTTGGAAAAGGACAAGAAGATATGACAGATCAACAATAATGTTTCAAAGTCAGCTAGGATGAGCATATAAGAAACTTTCTCCCTGGAAATATCTTTCTGGTGGACCTAGGACCTTGGCAGCAACTAATAATAGAAAAAGCCGCAATTGAAACATAAGTTCTCTATGCAGATAGAGCAATTGGTCATACATCAGAGAACAATTTTTTATAGTGGAGATCTAAATATCTGCCCAACTAGTTGCAACATATAATCAACTCAAGACTGTCAATCCAAACAATAAGATCATAGGTTCTGGTTCTATCACGAAAGCAAAAACAAACAAGTCATAGCCCTAGTTGAGTTGAAAAGCGGTCTTTCTAAATTCCTCCACATTAATTCATCAAAATAGTTAAAATTTCAGAATTCAATCACTGACAAATCATGCTACAAGAATTGATTCTTCATGTAAATTTTTAAAATTGAGTTCCATGGTTTTAAAGAGATAACTACAATCTTTTGCTCATAATCAATTAAAGTGAGACCAAAATAAAATTATTAATTACTTAGCTGCCTTTTACACATCATCTTTGACTATGTGATAGCATTTTTATCAACTTAATATTTGGACAAAAGATGCAAATGAAAGATCATAACTTAAAAGCATTGGCCAGATGAGAAGTGCAAAGAGATGGCAAAAATCTATTAGTAAAGACATAACTAGATTGATCAATGATCAGAAAGACAGTCATTAAATCATGGAATTATGTCAGCATAAGAGGTCTTAGAAGTATCAGTCCTAAGAAGCATATAATCAAGTTCTCCATAATCAACCTTCTTCCTTTATTTCTCTTCCTTCTACCCTCCTTGTGGGGGTTGGTAATGGTGTGATATACAATAAAAAGCTGCCACTATAAATGTACGCCAAAGCCATACTGGACACTGAAAGAATCATGGAATGCATAATACCTTTGGAGGTGCCATTGGGTACTCTTCTGGTAGAAACAACTCCAACTTGAAGACGCCCCCTATACATGAGCAAAATTCTAAATTTAATAAAAGAATCCAGAAAAACAAATGGAGAACTGGTGTTGAAGGATTGCAAAATATGCCAAATAATGTCAAAAGGATGTATGCTGATAATGATAAATTGAACTCTTCACCTATATGCTCATGATTGGCATGATGATATCATTGATATGTCAAAAGCAGATCCACAACAGCATTATGGATCTATACATCATGCTGTGTTTACTTTTCCCAGGAAAGCATTATGATAGATATCCAAGGATAAAGCTGGAGGAAATGGGAGGATTAGTGGGTTCCAGCTGGGATACCAAAGACACGTAGTACTAAAAAAAAATCTGGTGAAAAGGAAAGGAGAGGGATAGGCTTTAGCGAAGACTTTGAGTCCTGTCCTTTTTAACTTTTAAGTATTAAAGAGTCTACTAAGCGATTTGCAATATCTTCAACTGCATTATCACATCCTAATAATATTCCAAGCCTGTTTATGTTGCAAGGTCCAAACTTTTGGTTCAATGTCAAGTATGATTATGTATTACTCCTTCCAGAAATGGTAAGAGTCATCAACTATATTATCAATGTCAACGCTAAACAATTTCCTATAATAAATTAGAATTTATATCTATATATTTTTTCCTAACATGACTCGTTTAAATAAATGGTGGAAGAGGATTCAAAGGATACCATAGTGCGTTCTTGAGTACAAGGGGCGATGTGACAAAAATTTCAAAAATGATGTGAAATTTAGTTTAAATATAAACTAATAGTACAAAGTTTTGAAGGTTAAGGAAGAAGAAAAAGCTAATATGATCTACTCTTAAAGGGCACTCATTGATGAATCTTTGTTAATAATTCTTGCTTAATTTAAGTAGATTACTTAGAATGAATTTTCACTCACCAACAAACATTTACAAAGCTCTCTCTAAAAACATAGCGAAACAACACAAAACTTTAAACCACTAGAGACCTATAATACCTATCTTTTCTATGGAAGTTTAACATTAACTTCCACAGCTTTTCTGTTACTTACTTATATAGAAGATCCACATATATGTAAGCAAAACTTCAAGCACAACAAGATTCTTTCCAACCCGATGTCCATTCGATCCACAATAATACGCGAGTATACCAATCTCATTGAATTCAAAGATCCATGAATAAGTAAATAAAAAATTAATCATACAAGCACAAACATTACAGGCTATACAAACAAGAATAAGCAACAAACAACATGCAATTTTAATAACTTAACCAAAAAAAAAAAAAAAAAAAGAAATTAAAATGGATTAAAAATTAAACCTTCATAAGGAGATTGAGATGGACCCAAAACCATAACATTAAAGTACCGCATATTCTCTTCAGAGGGAGAAGCGCTAATTCCAGGAGCTACATTGAAAGTTCCAAAGGATTATAAATTATACACAAACTGCAGAACAATTACAATTTCAAAAAATAGAATCTCAAGCATCAAAATCATTACTAAAAATAGTAAAATTGAACTAATTTTCAGACAACAAAAACCCATTAAAATTTGGGGGAAATAGAAGGAAAAAACTACCTGGTTCACTAAGAAGCCGCTGAGTTTCCTGTTCAATTTACCAAACAAATCAAAGAAAAAGAAGCCGCCATTAATAAAAAGCAAGAAAACTGTAAAAACGATGCAACAAATATTGAAATGAAGATCGAAGATTTAGAGGAGGAGATTCATGGAGGGGTTACCTTAATGATTCTTCGAGGAAGATTACTGTTCGCCATTAATGGAGATGAAAGAGGGGAAAAGGGGTGGTAGATCAGGAGAGAGAAAGAGGCAGAATTGAAGATTGGAAATTTGGAATCGATATTGGAAAATGGTAATGGAGGAGGGCTTTATGAAGCTATAGGGCGTGTTCGGCGCCAGCTTTTGAGTAGTTTTTAGGTAACTTTTAGTGGTTTGACCAAGTCAAATCACTACTCAACAAAAAATGTAAGTGTTTTGGCAAAGTAATGGTTCAAGTAGCTTTTAGTGATGGAGGTAGCTTTTATTAAAAGGTAGGATTATTAGCTTTTGAAGTTAGAGGTAGCTTTTGAAGTAGCTTTTGGAAATTTAATGTATAGTTTAAAAAATAAAATATTAATTCTTAAATGTAACATCTAGTCAACCACTACTTTACCGAACAATCATGGTGTAAATTATCTTTTTTCACAGCTAACAGCTTGTTGACAGCTAACAGCTATCTCCACAACTCACAGCTATCTCCACAGCTACAACTACCTTCACAGCTATATTTTGCCGAACATGCCCATAAAGTGGTAGTGGTAGTGGTATAAAGTTGTATTTCCGTGACAAGTCGTGCAACTAGCCAACTAGGCCGGGTGGGTGTGGGTTTGTGTTCGCCTAGCCGAATTGAAAACAGCGCAAATTTTTAGCTGGTGTCGAACTCATTCTTTTTATAGGATATGTATTCTTACAAAATTAAATATTCATTTTTATACTATCAAATTTTCATTATTATAATATTAAAGTTCACAATTTAATATAACAAAAATGAACATTTTCTTGATATAGGATATTTATTCGTACAAAATTAAATGTTTATTTTCATACGATCAGGTGTTCATTCTTATAAATATATGTTCACCAATTTTTTGTCAACTTCTTCCTCCAAATCCACCACCATTTTCTCTCTCCAAAGTCCAAACCTTCAAATTCATCCTAAAATGGCGGCAGCACTATAAGCCACATCCTCCGCCATATCACGAGCAATCACCTCCAAAAGTCCTCCATTGATGGGCGGAGCTCGGTGGTGGTGGTCGTCGTCAACGTGATGGGGTCGTCGTCAACCCTATTCTTGGTGTCACCGCAGCTTTCTTGGACAATCCTTCTCTTAACAAAGTCAATGTTTATTTTATACGAATAAACATTATACTACAGGAAAATGAACATTTATTTTATAAGAATGAGCATCATATTGCATGAAAATGAACATTTATTTTATAAGAATGATTATCGTACTGCATGAAAATGAACATTTAGTTATTGAGAAATACAAAATTATTGTAAAATATGTTTGGTTAGAAAATGTTCATATTTGTTATAATAAATGTTCATTTCTGAATGAGGGACCCAAATATGTACCTGGTTTCGAGACCAACTTTCAACAACTGCGAAAAAATAGACTAGATCTGGGTTAGACATGTCTGTTGAGGTAAATATTATTCTTTAACAACAAGATAAATACTCTTTAATAACCCAGATCTAAGCCTGTTTGAGCCTCTAGGTAGAGCAGATTGCAGCAGAGCAAAGCAGATTTTATTATTATTATTATTATTATTATTATTATTATTATTATTATTATTATTATATCTCAAAAACATACAAAGTTATACAACCTATTAAAAATTAGTGGGAAGCCAAGATACAATCTAGGCCCCCACTCCTCTAGCTATAGAAAAGCCTACCCTAGTAAATGTATGAGGTGCAGCACGTGCTCCAATATCTTGTGTCGTGGAGAACCTCTAAACTCTCTTAAGCAATGCCACAGCTTCCTTCTCTAATTCCCCAAGCGAAGAAACGGATAACGGAATGAAACCATATCCAATCACCTGACAACGAGCCTCATACTTAACCCGCTTTCGATGAGCTGCATCAGCCACAACCCGTCCATGAATAAAGTCATATAGCCCTGAGTATGTTAAAGGAGAAGATCCTGTCAAACCTACATAGACATCGCGACCACAATCCCAGGAATAAAGTAACACATCTACAGGTCTATGGGCCTCATCGTTCCCTCTAGACAAGCCAATGTCAACCTCTTTCCTTGCTAAAATCCCAGAACGATAGCAACCCTCGAGTTAGACATGTCTGTTGAGGTAAATATTATTCTTTAACAATAAGATAAATACTCTATTTTGTTTTAGAGTATTAGAGGCTACCCCTCGAGTTATCAATTTCAAAGATTGATAATCTTGCTAACGTAAAACAAATAATAAGGAAGCTTTTCCAAAAGAAGTTAAATAAGTTAGATTGCTCAAAGAAATGAGTAGATAAACATATATAACAAAATATACAAATGCATTCCATTTATTAAAGGATAGAAGATCTATAATTGTACAAATTGAAGGAAAGGTTTCCTCCATGGTCATACAAAACGATCTTCAATACATGATATGTGATAAACTACACTATCACTTGGCTATTAAGCCAAGGGAAACTACGAAAGCTTAAAAGAAATGAAATGCTTGTTGTTGATTGATTTGCTGATGTCCTAAATCTGTCGTTGTACTTCTATTTATAGGCAAAACGAAGCGGTTATGACTAACTCTCATAACCGTTGTACGGTTATGCTTCTTGTTCAAGGTATTTGATATCCTTATTCTAAGCTTTGAGAAGACCTTCCTTAATAGTTAGGAGCTATACCGCAGCAGCACAAACATCAATAAACTTCATAGCATAGCCAGTAACCCAGATTCCTTTCTTACACCTTATAACACCCCCTATACCAGCAGTATCAACACTCATCCATGATCCATCAATGTTGAGTTTATGGTAACCCTTTTGCGGTGGATCCCACATTCTAGAAGGTTGATTTGAGGAAGAAGAAGGTCTGTTTAAATGGCCCTGTATTAAATCCATAGAGTAATGATTATCAACAAGAATTTTATTAAAAGTATATTGGATAAAAAGCATTTTTTGATAAAAAACAGCCTTGTTCCTAGTACTCCAAAGATGCCAAAATGCCACTAAAAAATGGTTCTTCAGCTAGAAGTATTAGCTAAGTTAAAACCTAACCAGTCAGAGAGGCTAGTGTTATTAAATTTTTGTAAATCAATATCCAAATAAGCAAAATTTTTAAAAATAAGAGACCCAAAAGCAGAAGAGTTAGGACAATCTCTAAATATATGAATGGAGTCTTCTAGGGGATACTCACATCTCATGCAAATGGGATCAAAACAATGAAATTTCTTTTTAAGAGTAGATCCTACAAGTAAAATATCTCTAACAAGATTCCAAAGCAACATTATATACTTATAGGGGACTCTGATTTTCCACAATTTTTTCCTAGAGAAACTTGAAAGAAAAGAAGTGTTGAGATTGTTATGAGGAAGGGTATAAGCTGATTTAATTCTTGGCGTCAACGTTAATTTGAAAATTAAAATCATCCATTAGCCTCCTAATCCGGTCTATATATTAGTGGGCCTTAATTAGCAAGCGTGATATGTGGATGCTATGTTTTAATCAAACTAGCCCAAAGATCATTCACTAACTCTAGGACTTTCTCAACTTGGTCAAAGTCAAGAAAGTCAATAAAAAAGTCAAAAAATCTTATCTTTGGGTGTAACAATGTCAAATGGGTTGGTTAGTTATAGATCGAGTTGAATATCTTTAAGTTTAGGTTTATGTCAATGGGAGGTCAATTTGGCTACATATTAGTAGGGAGGATTTGAGTCAACAGGTCGAGTTCATGTTAGATTTAAGGTCGAATCTTGGTCATCTAGGTTAGATTTCAGATCAAAGTTCGATAATCTTACATTGGTATGAAACTATCAGAAGTAGTTTAAAATTTATGGATTACAAAGTAATGTTATTACAAAAAATTATATATGGTCAAATCAAGTTGATTTCATATTGTTCGAGTTTGGTTTAGGTCGGGGTCAAGTTTCTCTTAATAGCTTCAAGTCGGATTTGGGTTGGATTAGATATTGTCATCAATAGGCGTCAGATGAATTAGCTTATTTTAACATAAGTGAATATGCTTGACAATGCACAAGAATTTATAGATTCGACATAGTATGGTTAGGGACACAGAATAGGATAAATTAGTGTTGCCAACAAATTTTTTCACAAAAACATGTAAATCATTTATGAATCATTACAAGAAAGGGACAAAGACAACCATGTTTAAGGGACAATTCCGAAGATAATTATGAATCTATACTTATAGCAAGACTTTAACTTGAGACCAACAAGTATTAAGATACAAATCTTACCATTTTTTTTTTTTTTGTAAAGTAAGATACATGGAGGAGATTAGGTACATCTTCTCACAAGACCGTGACCTAAACTATATATCAAGGAGTAAAAAAATAAATTTTACTATCTAAAAATGGATCTATATATATCTTCAATAGCCGAGAGAGACAACATAGTCTGCTGCGCGATTTCCTTCCTAATAGATGTGTCTTGCCTGAAAGCTCAAAAAAGAACCTAAAATAGTTTTGACAACCGCCATAACAAGCTAAAGTTTCCATGGACAACTAAAACGACCCTGCAAAATATTAATAACAGTAAAATTATCACCTTCAATAAAAATATCAGAAATATTAAATTCTCTAGCAAGAAGGAGACCATTGCAAAGGGCAATAGCTTCTGCAAGGTAGGTCGTACAAGTGCCTAAATTATAAGTACGACTGGCCATATGATTACCCAGATGGTCCCGAATGACCACACCTACAGTGGCAGAATTCTGATTGGCAAAACCATCAAAATTAAGTTTACCAAAATCGGAAGGAGGATGGGGACCACGAGACAATGGGTGAGGAGTGAGTGAGGAGGAGGCGGTGGTGGTGGAGTCGTAGTAGGAAAGTGGATGGAGTCAAGAAGAGATCGAGACTATTGTTCCTTAAACATAGAGAATTCTCGAATAAAAATACTATGGATATTAGCATAAGAGTTTTTAAAAACTACTGCATTACTATGTTTCCAAATACTCCAAAATAATATAGTTATCTTAGGAAGGAGTCTAGGAAAATTGACTTTGAGAAAGCGAAATAAATCATGGATATTTTGAGGGATGCGACCAAGCCACTAAAGGACAGAAGAAGAATACCAACGTTCTATAGAGAAAATGGGCAAGAGAGGAAAAGATGATCATGGGATTCAAAATGATTCCAA